TTGGGATCTGAGAAATGCACATAGAAGTCCAAAGATGTACAGAAGAAGGGACTGAGGGAGATTTGGGGGTTGTAAACCTTGAGTTTCATTCATGGGGTCTTTAAGGACACAGTGGCTGTCAGAGAAAGAGAGAGGGAGAGAGTCTGACTTCTTGGTCAGTGAGCATCCTTGACCCGTTCCAGCAGGTCTTACAGGACCTAGTGAGGGCGGCGGGACTGGTGGGCTGGCAACGCCCCCATTGTCTTAGAGTTCCAGTCCCTTTTACAGCAAAGATGGTATTCTTTAGGGAGCTGGGGAAATCCCGGACGTGGGGCGATCACAGCTGTAATCACCACATTGTGGTGTTCCATGCTTTGAGCTGCTGACCCCAGCATGCCAACAGCTTGAGGAAAAGCCCCTCAGTAGGCTCTATTTCTGTTCTTGAGGCTCTGAACTAGGATTACTCCAATAGGGCAGTTCCTGGGTGTTGTCCCTTCAGGCTGTCGGCCCTGGGCAGCAGAGGGCTGTGTGGTGATGTCCCTTGGAGGCTCTCACAGCCTCTAGGCCAAAACACGTCCATTGCTTTTGGATTCCCTGGGAATGTTCTGCTGCCATCTCACCAGGCCATTGGAGGAGGAAGAAAGAGTTTGGTGTCAGATATGGCAACACAGAAGGGTGCAGGCAGGAACTCTGAATCTGACCCCACATCTAATGAGCCTATTCTTAGAGGCTCTTGACAGAGCACGGGATATCAAACGCTAATGAAAAGCGGGTTCCGAGAAGAGCTTGAAACAGCACCAGCCCAATTACATGTTCCCTTTCGGGCACGGAGGGAGTCTTGAGCGATGAGCTGAGCGCGCTGGCAAACCAGCTTTTGGGGATCTAGACAGGGCAGCGACGGCAGCGTGAACAGCTGTCGACCTCATTCGGTGGAGAAGTTTAGGCTGAAGGAAATTACAGGCTCTTTCTTCCTGTTTTCAGTCATCCAAATGGCTGTCCCATCACGTGGCCATGCTTTGTGGGGCTGTGGGGGCGATCCAGCAGATGTTGGTTTACAGAAATGTCCAATGTTAAGGAATTGTCTTGCTAAATCTTCCATCCCAAAGGCCCCCAAGGAGAACTTGAAGTGGTCAGCGGTGCTGGCCAGCATCAGGCTGGATGGATTTGGGCCAACCAAGGCACATCTGGGCTTTTCAATTCCTTCTTGCTTGGTTTGGGGTGTACCCCCAAAGCTGTAGGAAGGGAGGATTGATAGGGGGCTAAGAATACACACTTGAGATAACTTCCTGTGCTTATCCAGCATGTAGATGTCCAGAGTTGTATCTGGTGGGAGCTTCAGGCTCAAGTTTGGATAGACAGGTTTCCAAAGCATCTATAATCTACTTTTCTTTTGTTCTAATGTCTCCTTGTCACAGAAGCCTTCCCTGGGCCCCCGATGCAGAATCGCCCTGATTGTATCTCCACTTGAAATATGTGTGTTCATTTAGCTGGTCTTCCACTAAAATGCGCACTCTGCAAGAGTGAGGGATTTGCCCTCTCTGTTTATTGTGGTATCTTTAGCCCCTTGAACAGCATGGGGTCTGTCATATGTGTCCAGTGGAATTCCAGGCATAAATGCAAGCCTGGAAGGAGGCTTGCTAAAGCCGGCTGCTACCAGTCTGTCCATGAAAGGGCCTCGTTCCCAGGAGAAAGCAAGGTGCCCTTTGTCGTTGCTTTCTAATTCCTCATTTCTCCAAGCAAATGTTCATCACGCACTTGGAGCCAGGTGTGAAAGATCACAGCCCTGCTCTCCCGGGGCTCTCAGACTGGTGGCAGATGAAGACGTTGGCATTAAATCCTTTCTTTAAGATACAGCTCTGGCATCAGCCCTCCGGGGAGCCTTTCTTGAACACTCTTGTCCCACAATGCGAGGTTGGGTGCCATTTTTCCCATAGTACAGTAAGCCCTGCAGAGCTTGACTGTGACCCACAAGTGAAGCAGACAAGTACTGTACAAAGGGCTTTCTGTTTCCCCTCACGAGCTCCTTAAGAGCAAGGATTGCCCCTTACTCTTTCCTGAGCAGAGCGGCTAACATACAGAATACTCAGTAAGTGGGAGGTATCTTTGCGATTGCCGCTGTGACTATGTGCTTTCAGGAACCAGCATTCAGATAGCCGTGTACGTGGATAACCTCATTTAAGATATTCTGAAGCTGTATAAGGCTTGGAAATAGCTCTGTACTGTTCTATAGTATGATATAATGCTGTTTTCTATAATATTTGCTGTTTTGTGCTCTCCTCGTGTTCTGCGGATGCAGTGATCATTTAGGCTGGTGTGGAATCTTTACCAGGAGTTCTAGGGGACTTCGGGTTCCTAGATGCAGGCTGGGATCCTGAAGTAATTTACAAATCATTCTCTACGTGCAGATGTCACGGACTACTATGAGCCTGGAGCATTTGTTTCATTTCAAGTGTGGGGGGCGGAGGCGGGGCTGAGGACGTCATGGGAATCCTCTCAGTAAATACATGTGGGTTCATGGCATTTTGGCGCTGCTCCTTTGATGTGGCTGGTTTTTGATTCAGGGTTGCAGGGACATTTTGTCACAGCCTGAGAATCAGACCAAGGATCATGCGCCACAGGCCCCCAAGCCGACTGCTGGACTGAATGCACGCGTTAAACCAGTATCTGTCTGTTTCCACTTCAACATGGCTGTGTTGATGCCTGACACTTTTGTTATATCCTATGGAATTTGCCAGAAGGTTTGGTGTAAATACTTATTAGTCTCACTTAAATACCAACCGTGTGCCCGAGTCTAACATCAGTGGCAAAATGGCCTCAGTTGAAGCAGAAGGCAGGGGAATAGAGTCTCCAGGGGATGCCGCACATTGCCAAAGGCTGGCTGATGGATCCCTTCTCTAATTCCGAAACAGACATGGCCCCCCTTCTTTTTTGGCTATTTCTTGATTTAGAGCTTCAGATGACTGGCTGGAGACGTGTTTAAAAATATCAAAATATCCCAATGGAAACATTGAAATGTGGTCTATCCGTGTTAAAAAAGATCGTTTTGATCATTTTACTCTGCTGTGTCGTCCAAAGAGCCTTCCTGTCTGTTTCGCTTAGTGATTAGAGGAAGTGCTATTTGTTGCTTGCTGACCAGATTGGCCCTCATCTGCTTGCTGCGAACCATTCTGTCCTACTTTCTGAGAGATCGTTAGTGCACATATGTCAGCTAGTTGAGGTTGGCCCCAAACGAACCAGATGAGCCACTATGGGGAGACCAAGATGCTTATATTTTGGACTAAGAGTTTCAGTTGGGTATTCTAACCAGACCAGGAAACATCATTCCTAATTTCAAAGTATTTTGGTAGCAAGTATATTAAGCAGCCTGTTATAAAAAAGTAAGTAGATGTGCTTGTGTCCTTGGTCTTCAATCTGAGACTCTGGGAGCTAAGCTCAGCGTCTTGCTGGGATGGAGGTGCGAATAGGTAGGTCCTTTGAGTTACGTGTCACCCTTGTCATGAACTTGATGAAGACTGTGTGTGTCCATGCTCCCTGCATGAAGGGACCACAGACGCTGGTGCTATGGCAGGCCCCTAACATACATTGTCATGTTCATTTCCACAAGCGAGGCATCAAGGCCTTCTTTCTACACACCACACAGCTAGCAAGCGATGGAGGCACAATTTGAATCCCATGTTCCCTGTTTACAAAACCCACGCTATTTCTATTACAACCAGTGATTCCAAACCACAGGTTTGCAGATTGATAATGGTCCTCAAAGAAAGCTTTTCCAGTCTGTGGTGAGAACATCGGGATAAGGCTTACACCCTCCCATCTTGGAAGGTGTTATCATTTAGTTGGAGACTGTGACCCGTCTTTCTAGGTGTTAAAGATGGCTAAAAAATTTGTAATCACACAATGGTGATTGGAAATGGCAGCTCACAAAAGTGTCTTAAGTTGTCAAAGTAAAAAAAAAAAAAAAAAAAAAAAAAGGCCTTTCTATGTCAAACTCCAAGCTTAGATTTGAAATATTTTGGCCTGGCAAATGGCAAAGCTGGAAAAAGAGGTAGGGTGCTTACTACCCCATCAAGGGTTCCATTGAAGACCCTCACCGTTGTTTGGGTTCACATGGGGTTTATCTGGAAAAGGGCTGGGCTGCCTTGAAGGATGAAGGTGATCATGTGCTTCTTAAAGCCATTCTTCTTGGATGCTGTGTAGCATGACGCAGGCAGCTTAGTGCAGCCCTGCTTGGCCTACCCACACTGATGACTTTGGCATGACCAGGATGGGGAAGACTTGAGCTCAGAGGCATTTTAATGTGGCATGATTTAGGTCATGACTCCTCTGACCTCAGATCTGATTCAGATCATTCAACATCACCTCTTTGCCATTGATCCAAGAATGGAAGAGCTCAGGTTTTGGAGGCAGACATATCTGGGTTTATATCTCCATTTCTTATAAACTGTGACCCTGAGGAAGTTACTTTCTGGAAAACAGGGCAGAGATTCTTGCCTCTCAGAGTTACCGTGGTGGGCAACTCTTAGACAAAATCCTTACCACTGCTTGTGGTATGTCTTTTTAAAAAATATTTTATTTTTGTAATTGAGACAGACGGTGGTGGGGGGGAAGAGGAGGGACAGAAGGAGTGGGAGAAGCAGACTACCCACTGAGCAGGGAGTGGGCCGCAGGGTTTGATGCCAGGACCCTGAGATCATGACATGAGCCAAAGGCAGACGCTTAACCTACTGAGCCTCCCAGGAGTCCCCTGCTGGTACGCCTTTTCTTTACCATGATGATCCAAGATGGTAGGGATAGATGTGCCCGGCACGTGGGTGTTCAGTGTGTCCTGGTGTCCTGCTTACAGGCCAACTGTAATTCAGAGTACCCTGAGTTGCTCTGGTTTTTATTTTCCTACCCCTGGTTCCAGATACCCTGCTGTGTCTGGGGGGAAGGCCTGTTTCACCTGCTATTGCCTGAGCGCCTCTGACTGTATCTGGGCGGCACCCAGTGAGCTCTCACCGCTCCTTGTGCTTCCGTTGCAGTGCCAACAACATGCCCAAGCAGGTGGAAGTCCGAATGCACGACAGCCATCTCAGCTCGGAGGAGCCCAAGCAGCGACACCTTGGCCTGCGTCTGTGTGACAAGCTGGGGAAGAATCTCCTGCTCACGCTGACCGTGTTTGGTAGGTGACAGGGGCCTTCCCTCCTCCCCGGCTCTCTCCTGGCTCTGGGTGGAAGCTGGGTTGCACAGCCAGCCCTGCTGCAGGATGAAAGCCTCATGCCTTCCCTAAGGCCTCCTTTGCCCAGGCACAGCTGCCTTGATGGCATAATGTTCCCCTCACCTGCCCCAGCCATGCATTTTTCTTCCTTGGGATTCTAGTGGTCCTTACAACTTCCCATGAGTACGTTAACACACAGATTCCCAGCCCTGCACATGGAGACTTTGGGCCATCTGCAGTGAGGTCTTGGAATCTGTGTCTTAACAGACCTTCTAGGTTATTCCTAAGCAGATGGTCGGCATAGCACATTTAGAGGAATACCTGCCTGAAGATAAAGGCAGCTGGTGCTGAAAACCCCATGAAGGGGGCTCCTGAGGTCTAGCCTATAAACACCCCATTACCTTAGATTAGTCTAGCATGTTAGCGAACGAGGTTAGGCTGGAAGAGGATTCTCCTCCAAAGTCTGATTCCTCTGCCTCAGACCTCGCCTGGGCTGTGGTTGTCCTTTGGTGTGACTGTTGACACAATCTTCATCTTGGGTTTTCAACCAGGGTTTGTTGAAAAGCGGGCAAGTTGCCTGGTCTTGAAATGACAACCACACCATTTCCTCTCTTCATCCCACCTTGTTCTTCAGCTCTCTCCTAGGCTACACACAGAAGCAATGAACAACTCCTCACCTCCAACCCTTTCCCCACTCAGCTCCCTGGCTTCTCCTCCTCTGAGTCTATCATCCTGGACATCAGTGGACCAGGGTCAGAACTGCAGGCTTGCCACAGTTCAGTTCACTTAATGAAAGAAGACAGAAGTATGGTAGGGGTTTCCAAAGCTTACCTTCCACGTAAAGAGATTTCACTTATCGTAGGTCATCAAGAAGTATGTTTTCCTCCTGCAAAAGTAAAAAAAAGGTCAGGCTTTTGACCACAGTGCTCCCTGCACACTCCTGGAGTTAACACCCCAGTACATGGACCCAGTTCATGGAACTACCCCCTCCCACTCAGCTAGTGGTGCTATGTCTGACCTGATTTGTGGTTTCTACAAGATCTTTGATATCGGCTGCCTGTTTGCAGATATCTGGTTTGTCTTGTGGAATCCCCGAGTATGCAAAGTGAAAGGCTCCCACCAGCAACTCTGCCCACATTGTTTCTTCCCAAATTATACACTTTGAGAGACGCCCCCTAATCTCCCATAAAAGTCTCCCACAAAGGCGAGTCTAAAGATTATGTAAAAGAACATAGAAGTCAAGGACAAAACTTCTTAAGAATGAGCCATGGGGAAATCTTTGGGAGCCAAAAAAAAAAGTAGAAGGAGAAAGGAAACTCACAACCAGCTTGGTAGATCAAACGTTCCTTTTATCTGGTATGCAGTTAGAATACATGAAGCGCCATGCCACTGGCCAGGCTGAGGCTGGGAGAAGGGGAAGCAGTATCTGGCAGTATGTGAGGGATTATTTCTGCTGCCGATCTCGGAGGATACAAATGAACAGTATCCTCAAAGAAGTTAGTCAAGTCAAGGAGAGAAGGACCTCCTAGACCCTCCCAGTGCTGCTTGTCAGAATAGACAGAGGTATACAATATTCTCTCCCTAGTCATTAAAATCAACTTGACTTATATAATGGTATTTTCGTAACGTGTTATTCATCATCCGATAACAGAGAGGTATGAGAAAGATCAATGTGACTGAATCCCTAGAGCTATTCATTTGACTCAGGCAAAACACGAACTCAGATATTTCCCCCTTCTCCCTTCTAGGTGTCATCCTGGGGGCAGTGTGTGGAGGCCTTCTTCGCTTGGCATCTCCTCTCCACCCTGATGTGGTCATGTTAATAGCCTTTCCAGGGGATATACTCATGAGGATGTTAAAAATGCTTATCCTGCCTCTCATCATCTCCAGCTTAATCACAGGTAAGACCATCTCTCTGGTGCCTGGCCACAGGGAATCATACCCCTGCTCTGGCTTGTTGATGGACCATTGAATCTCAGTTTGGTGGAATGAATAATTGGGATGATCTGTGTCATTTTATTTCAGAGCCTTGGTTTTCCTGTCTCTCAAAAGCAGATTTTTGATCCTAAAAAAAAAAAAAAAAAGTTTTCCATCTATTGGTCAGTCTGACCATTTCTCTGTCTAGCAATAAAAGATGAAAGGGAAACAGCCACGTTAAAAGTGATGATAAACAAACAATAGAGGTTTTAATTTTGAATGTATACTTTTTTAATTTTCCAAATTATACTTGGCTCAGATATTGATAAATAAAAGTAACAAATAGGAAAGGAAATTTCCTCTTAACTGTTTAACTGGGTATAGAGGGAAGTGGGTATTAAAAATAAAATAAAGATTAGATATGAAACCCTTTGAGGTTTTTGAGAAAAGCACCCTTAATGTGTAGGTCATGTTTGCTTGTTTTGGGCTGAAAGAATTGTTTTATTTGAAAGAATTTGTTTGCTTCTATGGGCTTATACTGGCAGTTTTTTCCTTACTAAATATTGCTTGAATAGGGTATAAATTCATGGAGTTTAGAGACTGAGCTTGGAGTTAAGGATGAAAGCTAAGTTTTTTTTGTTTTTTTAAAAGATTTTATTTATTTGACAGAGAGAGAGAGAGATCATGAGTAGCCAGAGAGGCAGGCAGAGAGAGAGAGGGGGAAGCAGGCTCCCTGCTGAGCAGAGAGCCCAATGCGGGGCTCAATCTCAAGACCCTGAGATCATGACCTGAGCTGGAGGCAGAGGCTTAACCCACTGAGCCACCCAGGCACCCCAAAAGCTAGGCTTTGATTGGTATTTGGGTGCTCTCTGGGTGACCTTGAAAAAGCCGTCCCTCTGGACTCTCCACCTTATGAGGAAAGTGAGGCCTGGAAACACTGAGAGATTCAGATGCTAAGCCTGTTTTTCCAGAGTCTCTGGTTGACCAGTGAGCCCGGTGAATGCAAGGTCTCATTATTCAGCCCAGACTGAGTGACACTGTACTGTCCCCTTAAGGCTTCTTTGCAAACCAGAGAAAATGTTCTCCGTGCCCATTTAACCGAACATAGATAGGGCAAGCTGGCCAGGAAAATGAGCATCTGTTGGCCAGAATCCGACTTTTGGTTGTAAGGAGAAGTGGCTCAAATGCGGGTCAGCTCAATTCAGGAAAGTTCACACCAATGACTTCCTCCCCCACAGCAAGGGCTACAATCTCTCTTGTCTAGTAAAAGCAGAAACTAAAACCAGGAAGTAGAAAACTAGAAGAAACAACTGGGAAAAAACCCAATGAAGGTAGGAGTTTTTGTGACTTGGCTTGGAATTTCCTCCAGCAATCACAGGACCTCCCACAGTATAGACAAAGTCCCATCTTTGTGTTCTCTAATCCCTGCACTAGGTTGGAAGATGTAGGTCTCCACCTACATTTTGTGCTTCACCTTGGAGGAATAAGGGCTGTGCTAGATCACTAGGCTAGACTCTTGATATCAATCACCAGGCCTACCAGCTTTTCATTTTTTTTTTTTAAGTGAGGACATTAATAACAACAGCAATGAAGTAAAAACCAGCAGGTACTAGCACCGTCACTTCATAAAGAAAAGATGTCTTAATACCAAATAAATGGGAAGGACATCATCTCGGAATTAAAAATGGAATACATTCAAATTTAACTCATTATTGCAGACTGACAAAAAGTAGTTACTGGTCAGTTTATAAACTCTGAACGAGAGAGATCAGTTTTATAAACTCGGAAGAAGAGATCATCAACTCTCCACAGTTCTCTAGAACCTCAAAAATGTCCTTGGCGGATCAAACTGTAAACTGTAGGATTGGAATCTTCAGTAGCAGCAGCCGTAATCAACCACGAATGCACCTGAGTAATACAGAGCAGTGTTACAGGGATGCAGAGATGGGCAGTTAACAGAGACATCACAGGAGTCCTCTTTCCAATGTCTTTTCAATGCAGGGTTGTCAGGCCTGGATGCTAAAGCCAGTGGGCGCCTGGGGACGAGAGCCATGGTGTATTACATGTCCACAACCATCATTGCTGCGGTGCTGGGGGTCATCCTGGTCTTGGCGATCCACCCAGGAAACCCCAAACTCAAGAAGCAGCTGGGGCCAGGGAAGAAGAATGATGAAGTGTCCAGCCTGGATGCCTTCCTGGACCTTATTCGCAATCTCTTTCCTGAAAACCTGGTCCAGGCCTGTTTTCAACAGGTAACCCAACGTTCCAATGCTATATGACCCTTCAGCCTCCTAAGTGAGCAAGATTGTAACTTGGAGAGTGTTTCAGTGAACCAGCTCTGGGGAGTCATTTCCTTATATTTAATTACCTCTCTCTCTAGAGCTTGTTTGAGATGATTTGCAGCAGGATTTGGGGATTAAAGTTATGTTTATTTATTTATTTAGTTTTTGTTTTGTTTTGTTTTGTTTTGTTATTAACCTTCTTTTTTTTTTTTTTCCAGCTCACTTAACATCTCTTTGCTCTGGGATTCCCCTTTCTTACCTTTTTTTTTTTTTTTCCCCTGTTACCTCTTTCCTTGTTTGTAGTTCCCCTCTGCATGTTGTCCAAAGACACATTTAAAAAAATATATTTATTTATATGACAGACAGAGAGCACATGTAGGCAGAGAAGCAGGCAGAGGGATGGGGGGAAGCAGGCTCCCTGCTGAGCAGAGAGCCCGATGCAGGGCTCGATCCCAGGACCCTGAGACCATGACCTAAGCCAAAGGCAGAGGATTTAACCCACTGAGCCACCCAGTCACCCCTCAAAGACGCATTTTTATCACTTTTGCTCACAACACTCTAGAATGCCGAGTGGGTCTCAGTGTTGGTAGTATTACAAAACTGCAAGGGGTAGATTTAAAAAATACACATGACCTACAGAGTCAGAATTTCTAGTGTGGGCCCAGGGAGTGGGTATTTTTCAAATTGTGGAAGTAATACACGAGGGTTGTAAAAAGTTTAAACAGTCTAGATGCACATAAGAAGTCAAGTCCTCACTTCTGGTCCTTAGAACTAATCATGCTGGGAATTTTGTTTCCTCCTGAATATATAGTATGATGTGTGCAACATCCTTTTTTTTTTTTTTTTAAAGATTTATTTATTGTAGAGCAAGAGAGAGCAGGAGAGAGTGAGAGAGCGTGTGCGAGCACGGGGAGGGCAGAGGGGGATAGAGACACCAGCAGACTCTGTGCTGAGCTCCAAGTCCAACATGCGAATGGATCTTACAACCCCGAGATCATGACCTGAGCCCAGACAAGGGTCATATACTCAACTGCATGTATGCATAATCTTAAAAAAAAAAATCCACCCGAGGGAACTGCATTACCCATGCCGCGTTACACTTGCTTTTTATTTAATGAGGTTTAGCATTATCTCTCTCTCTCTTTTCATGACCATGTAGTATATCTAAAAAATAAATTCTTGGGCACTTATGTCTTGCCAAAGAGTTTCATATTTCAGATTTGCTGGATGTTGCAAAATGGCTCTACAAAAGTTTGTACTAATGTCTATTCCCACCAAGTGCATTCAGGAAGATCAATTTTTTAAAGCATTATGATTCTTAAAAAATGGATGATTCTGCTGAGCGGAGCCACTGTGAGAGCCGCCAAGGCCCCACTCACCAGTCTGTTGTCTAGCCCCAAGGTCAGGTTAGGTTAGAATATACTCCAGTTCCCAGTAACTGAGGGAGCAAGTCAACTAGAACCAAAGACCCTCCTTCAGTCATTTCCGGGAAAGTGCAGAAAAATGAGCTCAACAAAGAGGCAGCCTGGAGGAACAGTTTGCCTTCCCAGCTGCCCTGAAAATACTGTTGCCAATCACTGGGGAGCCCAAATGACTCTGGGTTAGGGTGTGTTCTCTGATTTCTGATGCCAGTCTGCTGGCACCATAGCATGGCACTATGTTAAAGAAATGCATTTTCCGGATAAAGAAGATGTGTATAGGGGCACCTGGGTGGCTCAGTTGGTTAAGCGTCTGCCTTAGGCTCAGGTCATGATCCCAGGGTTCTGGGATCAAGTCCAGCATCGGGCTTCTTGCTCGATGGGGAGTCTCCTTCTCGCTCTCCCACAGCCCTGCTTGTGCTTTCTTGCTCACTTGCCCTCTCTCTCTGATAAATAAATAAATAAAATTAAAAAGAAAAGAAGATATGTGTATATATACACAATGGAATATTACTCAGCCTTCAAAAAGAAGGAGATGTTGCCATTTGTAACAACATGAATGGACCCGGAGGGTATGATGCTAAGGGAAATTAATCAGAGAAAGACAAATACCGTATGATTTCACTTATAGGTGCAATCTAAAAAACAAGACAAACAAACAAACAAGCAAAGAGCAGAAACAGACTTATAAATACAGAGAACAAACTGATGGTTGGTAGAAGGAAGGGGATGGACAACATGGGCCGAGGGGAGACAGATACATAGGCTTCCAGTTAATGGACTGAGCAAGTCACAGGGACAAAAGGCACAGTGGAGGGAATAGAGTCAGTGCTACTGTAGTAGAGTTGTGTGGTGAGGGAGGGCAGCTGCCCTTGGGGTAAGCATGGTCTAACGGACCGACTTGTCTGGTCACTATGTTGTATACCTGAAACTAAAGTAATCTTGTTGTCAGCTCTACTCCAGTAAAAAATAAAAATAAAATAAAATTTAAGAAAACAATAGAAAGCAAAACCAAAAGGTTCCATTAAAAAAAAAATACTGATTGGTTAAAGCCTCTGCCTTCGGCTCAGGTCATGGTCCCAGGGTCCTGGGATAGAGCTCCTCTCTGCTCAGCAGGGAGCCTGCTTCCTCCTCTCTCTCTGCCTGCCTTTCTGCCTACTTGTGATCTCTGTCTGTCAAATAAATAAATAAAATCTATAAATAATAAATAAATAAATAAATAAATGATGATGATGATGATGATGACGACGACAAAAGTAAAAGAAATCATTTCAGCCCAGGAGGTTGGCTGGGAAGGGAAGAGCAGCGGCCGGGGAGGGGTGCTTTCTGGCACTCCCTCTGTAGAGTGGACTTGGACCTCTGCCAGCCCACTTAGAAAGATGCATTCGCCTGCTTTGGAGAGCGAGACATAAGCGGGTGCCCCATCTGTTGTTAACATTCTGAAAAGAGCACTGTGGAAGTGTTGCTGTGAAACTGGCGAGGCAGGGATGGGGGCTTCCTTCTTGGGCCCTGTCGTGTCCATGCTCCATACAAGGACACCCCCTTTGGTGCCCTTGACAGGGGAGTATTGAAGCAGGCATGCCCCTGGAGCTGTTGCTCTGGGCTGCGGTGAGCCGTGCTCGCACTCAGTGACCTGTCTGGTCAGTGGGCGGTCTCAGCTTGGAGCTGTCCGCGGCAGGACCACTGAAGGCTGAGTTGTTCCCCTCCCCGCCCCCTCCTGGGACACCCCCCTCCCTGCCCCCGCTGGGAACATTCATGAGGAATGAACCCTTCGTCCCCCAGCAAAGCCCAGGGTCACTGTCCCTTTGGAGTTAGGATAATCAGAGGAAAAATTCAGTAGAATTTTTTTAATGATTTATTTATTTTAGAGAGATAGAGAGCAGGAGCAGGAGGGGCAGAAGGAGAGGGAGAGAGAATCTCAAGCAGACTCCCATGCTGAGTGCAAAGACCCACACAGGGCTCCATCTCACGACCCTGAGCTCATGGCCCAAACCGAAACCCAGAGTAGGGTGCTCACCTGACTGCACCACCTGGGCACCCCTGTGTAGGTCATTTATCTACCTCAGGGCAAGGGAGCATGCAGATTCCTTAAGATGGACTTCAGGCAGCCTAGAGGAAAGGGGTCTTAAACAAGGACCCAACCATGGACTCAGGAGGACCTCGAAGAGGACCCAGAGAAAGGGAATCATCATACGGTGACACTGCATTGCCAGAGAGAAATGGTGCCTGAGGGGTGCCTTCTGTGCCCTTGGGATACAGCTGGAAGTGATGACGAAAAGCCCGTCTTGGGTGTGGGGGGCCTTCACGATCAGAGTTAGACACAGGGGTGGAAAGAGGAAGGTACACATCCCCAGAGCAGAGGCTGCCTTCCCCCAGGTGGCAGGCCCCGTGTCTTACAGAGCAGGGAGGTGACCCAAGCCGAGGTTTCCAGGACAGCAACGGGCAGTCAGTTGCGGCCAGACCACAGGAATCCAACCCAGTGACAGGGACCATGTGGGTCTTCTCTTCCTGGGAATCCAGTTCACTCATCCACTCTGCACTTGTGGGCAGCTCCTGGGTGCCAGGCTCCCTACTATGCAGGGGATGCCACGGGCAACGAGACACTCTGGGTTCCTGCCCAGGGGAGCTTACATTCAGGGAGTGGGGAACACAGACCAGAACAAACATCACGTACATACACAAGCTATTCAAAAAATTAAGGTAAGTGCTCTCTGAGCACCAGAGACAGGATGAGGGGCTCTGCAGTAACTGTGAGAGACACCTGAGCTGAAAGAGTGAGGGACAAACTGAGCTAGGCTGAGGATGGGGCGGAGCTGCTGGGGACTGGGGGCGGAGCCTGTCCAGAGGTGTTGCCCTCAGAGAGAAGGAAGGCCAGTGTGTGGGAGGTAGAGCGAGCTGGGGGAAGCAAAGCCCAGCTCAGGCAGGATCTGGTAGGCCACAGTCAGTCTCAGGAACTTATTCTAAGAGAGTTTTAGGCACAGGGAGACAACTGTTTTTCTATTTTTAAGAAATCAACCCGGCAGCTTTAGATGTAGACAGAGCTCTGGGGAGCTGGACTTACCTGGTGTTTGCAGGTAGACTAGAAGGTGGGTGGGAATAGCAGTGAGCAGGCTTTTGCACGTTCTAAGGTTTGAGACTTGGGTAGACTGGAGTTGGCACCTAGATGGCGCTGTCCAACCCAGGTAGGCCCAGATCAAGAACTCAGGCAGAAACCAGGCCCATGTTCCTGTATCCCCAGCAACTTGCCTGAAACTTAAGCCACGGGTCTGTGCTGCTTAGAAGCTGATTTTGGAGTCAGACATGCCTCACCCTGAATCCCGCTTCAGCAACTAGCTAGCTGTCTGCCCTGCAGGTAGTTAGCCCTGGAGCCTTGAGGGGTTACTGTTGACAGAAGAGATGATAGATGGCAGGTGCACACTTGACCCTGAGAGCCACCGTTTATTTACCACCAGGGCCACTAGTCTTTTGAACTCAAGCCTTGGCTTCTTTAACATTCCAAGGACAGGTCCCCAGTTGGCATCTGGTCTTCCCATTTCCCCTGGGAGCGTGACTCTCTTGCTCCCAGAAGCCTCCCTTTGGATGGTTCCTGTGTTCTTTCTTCATGCCGACGTTGCCCAGGTCAAGGGGACCATGAACTTCCTGTTCTCCCCTTGCACACTCAGCCTGAGCTTCTTCCCTCCCTGCACAGGTGCAGGTGGTCAGGCTAGAACAGAGCATATCCTGCTTTTCTCCCACTTTGGACAATGGTCAGTTTGGCATTGCTCACTGTTTGGCCCCGCCACAGTGAACTGGGACCATGGAGCTTAGGGAATAGAAGAATTCAGTGGTGCTCAGGCACTCTGAGTTCAAGTCCCAGCTCTGCCAAGAGCTCTATTGACTGACAAGTCATTTGAGTTCCCCATGCCTCCCCTTCCGTATCTATTCAGGGTTCAGCCATCTGTTGCCTACTACGTACCAGCACTGACATTCTAGGATTCTGCATGAGTTCTATTTTAATACTCTTGAAGGTATTGTTTCTCTGGGCTCCGATGTGAATTTTCACAGCACTCTGAATGCAGGGTGCCTGGCACCTTTAAAAATAGAATGGATGTCACAGATGTCGAGGAATAGCATGAGAGGTTCTTGGGAGGCCATTTCCACAGAGATCCTTGGGAAACATTGAGCAAGGCTTGGCATCACTGTCTAGAAGGAGTGGGTGTCTTCTTTCCTTACATTTTGATCTGAAATATAAGCCAACATCCCTGTCATTGTAGCTGCTGGCTGCTAGTACATCTGGTGATCAGATGGAGATGCCCAGCAGAGCATGATTCTGGAAGGAGCCCAAATGAGTGGGTCTGTGAAGACTCTGCCAGACAGGAACCAGAGAGGAAGGAGCAAAGCAGGTGGACCATGAGGACTCATCTGATCCCTGCATAGACCCTTACTCTCCTACTCTTGACCAGATCCAAGGCCCCTCCCAAGGGGCAAGAAGGGTCATCCAATTAGTTTCGCCATTATGAAGAGCATCCATGTTGGATGTCGGATGTTGTCTCCAAGATGCAGGGCTACCATCATGGGAATGTAAGAAGTAGATGTCTGTCCCCCACCTTGAAGTGTGCGTCCCATTACTGGATTACACCACATTACAAATGAAAGTTATAAATCCTGTAATTATCATGTGATGAGAATAATCGTTTCCCACTATATTTGTGTCATAAAATGTCACTTTGTTAAACACAGACATATAAAATATTCCCCAACCTTTGTAACCTTGTTTTGGCAGTTCTGAATTATTTTTTCTCATACTGGGAACTTTATAAACATGTAAGTGGCTAGACTTTGGGTGATAAACCTCTCACATTTCTATTCCCCCCCCCCCCACTCCATTAGATTCAAACGGTGACCAAGAAAGTCTTGGTGCCACCTCCATCAGACGAGGAGGGCAATGCCACCAATGCTGTCATCTCCTTGTTGAATGAGACTGTGACAGAGGCACCTGAGGAAGCGAAGGTGGTTATCAAGAAGGGCCTGGAGTTCAAGGACGGCATGAATGTCTTAGGTAGGCAACCTGGTGTTCATCGCAGGGGGAGACGATGGCCAGCCCTTCCTGCTTCTCAGCACCCAGCAGCCCTGCCTCCCTTCTCAGAAAACCTGTTGCTGGTATTCTGTAGGTGGAGCAGGAGGCTCTCTCTAGAGAGCAAGTTGAGGGTCATGGAGACTGATATTTGAGACATTAAGGAAGAAAGAGAGGGCAAGCAGGACCATGAGGGAACATGGCAGCTAGGGGTTGGTTGTGGAAAAAGAGGGCACTAACATTCATTGGACACATTCCCTGACTTTCTGTGTGGTGTTGACAAATAACTTTCTCTGTCTATTTCATGAAGTTACACATCCAATTTTTTCATTTTTTAAGCTTTCGTATTATATTATTTTTTGAGCTGTCCTTGGGTGTTAATGCTGTGCTAGGCACAGGGATAGCTTACCCCAGCTTTCACATTCTTGAAACAAACACAATGCTATCAGGAGTGTAAAGTGTTGTTGTTGGTGCCCCAAAGGAGCTTATCCAAAGGAAATGACTTTGTTTAATTTTTTGGGATTCCAATGAGCCCTTTTCCCCTAATCTGGAGCCTTCCTAGCCTTCCATGGTTTTGGGTCTTTGGCTTGGCAAGCAGACCAGGTTCGGATCCCTTATGGACCACTCACGGGTGAGCTGACAGTAGCTGAGTTGCTCTGCTTCTCAAGCTTCATGTGTAAAGTGGGGTTGGGATTGCCATTTCTCTGGTAGATCATTATGAGTATTAAATGAGATTGCACCCATGAGGCATAGTAGCCTATGCCTCATGCTCTGCTGGTGCAGGCTTTACGGTCCCTATCCAAGGTGGATAGAGAGCTGAGGAGCTCAATAAGAAAACAGCTCATAGAGAATGAAGACTCCCATCACATGGGTGACTCCCATTTGCTCAGTTTACTCCCTATCTACCCCCTGGGTCCACCTTCTAACCTACCCCACACCCACTGTTAAACTGATGTTCCCTACACAAGAAAGAGGGACATTTGGCCCTAAACTGGGAGAAACAGGGAAGCTAGGCAAGAGAAATAGATTGATCCATGCAAGCAAGATTTCTAAGGATTTGAGGGATTTCTGGCTAGAAGGGGATCAGCTCAATGATCCTTCCACTTTACCATCTAGGAGATCAAATGCCCTTGTCTCCTTAGTAGGGTTGTCAGAGAAAAGACTGGACGCCCAGTTAGGTGTGAATTCCAGGTGAACAACAAATGACTTTTTTAGTGTAGGGTATGTCCCAAATATTGCAAGGGACATACTTATACTAAAATAAAATATATCCGTTCTTTATCTGAAATCCACATTTTAACTGGGTATCCTGTTTGTTTGTTTGTTCTAAACTTGCTCACCTGACACCTACCTTACCCAGAATGGTTGAGAGAAAGAGGTAGAGAAGAAGGAGGATTGTCTAGGCACTGAAAAGCAGAAGCTTCAGTAGGGATCTTCTTAGTTTGGCCTGGCAGGAAGCAGGTTGAGTAGTGAGAGCATGGAGGAGAGGCAATGGAAGATCAATAAACATTGTTGACAGTCAGTGTGAGGTGACAGGAGGAAAGAGAGAGGACAGAGAGGGTGAGTTCCTCTGCGGGGAGCTTGCAAATACCCTCAGATCCACCCCGGATCCACCCCTTCTCGCCCATTGCCAGATATGTGTGATCCTTTCAGGACCTTCCCAGCCATACTCTGTCCCTGAAGGCCCATGGGCAAAGTGAACCCACAGTCCATTACATATTCTGGAGGAGGTTAAGGCCATGAGTCATGAGGCCAAAACTTTGGGGTGAATCATTCAGAAGACTTTCATGGTCGTTTCCAGATTCTCAGTGGATTCTGGGAAGTCCTGTTGACCCTGGGTTGTACTGGGGAGTTTCAACACAACTCGCTACTCTCTCAGCCCCAGCGATCCAGTCTAAGGGGGCTTTGTTCAAGCAAAACATCCCAGTTCCAGTAAGTGACTTTAGTGAGGTGATGTTGACAGAGGAAGTGACATGGAAGCTGGACATGGGTGGGCAGCGGCAGACGGAGCTCTGGAAAGCCAAGGGAAGTTAGACTGTTGAGAAACTTCCCATGTACAAATCCCTTGGTATTCTAAGGGTGGAGAAGGTGGCTTTTGTTTTGTTTTGGAAAGTCCCAATGATCAGGCATTGCAGTAAGTGAAGACAAAACCTTGGTTCTGGGCTCCCTCTTCTTGAGGTACTCATTTCTCTCCCCAGTAACCTCCAGACCACTTCTGAGCTCTCTCCTCTAACCCCAGCCATTAAATCAATTCCTGGCAGAGTTTTCTCCTTCCAGCTTCTCTCTCTTAGTGATAGATGTGGCCCAGTTTCTGCTGACCCCGCAAGGGGAACTTTTTTCTGCCAGCTCTTTGAGATTTTGAGACCTTGAGTTTTTTCTCTTAAAATCTCCAAATGAAATTAACTGGGTAATACTAGCTCTTCTCAGCCAGAATGTTCACAGATTATTTCTCACTACACACCTAGCAAACTCTTCTCCTTCTTGAGAGAAGGGCTTGGGAATAGCCCAAATTTGGTTCCATACGTAATGGGAGAGCTAGATCACTCTTCCCTGATCACTAAATTTCATGAAGCCAGTCTCTGTGGCCAATAACTCACTTGTAAGGCCCTTGCCGGTCTTTCTGGCTGAGATCTGAAAAGGAGAAATATTCACTACTGGGGATTAACAATCCTGGGTGCACGTGCTGGGTTCTTTTTGGTAAAGAGAGAGTCTCCAATGAAGGATAGTTGCACAGTCTGAGTTGATATGTGCTTGGTGTGGGGAAGTGAGTGGTTTTGGGAGAGCTAGGAAAAAGGTAAAGTCAAAGGTTCAGAGAAAAAGAATTCCTTCCCAAGAGAATCAAACTATAATGCTATAATTTTCCCAGTATAACTCAAGACTCTGGGCAGAACTGAACACAATAGGAAACTGAATGTAATAGAGAGGACTGGCAATTAGGTCTGCCAAACTGGGATAAGTCTGGTGTAGGGAAGAGGAAGGAAGGAGAGGGGTATAGGGGATGGGCCATACTACATTTCAGAGAAAATGTCAGATGGGTAAGTAAGGTCCTGTGGCCAAAGGGACAGTAGCATTGACTGACAGTTCATGCAAGTAGTCAGAATTGGAGCCCCAGGACTGGCAATCGTGGGTCAAGAGTGAGGTGAGGGCACAGCCTGACTGGGAACCAGAAATTCAGATAAGCAGTAATGGGGATGTCTGTAAGCCATGTTGTGCCCCAGTCGTTGGGTAGGCCTGGGTGAGACTTCAGGCTGGGGGTGAGACTCTGAGGACAAGAATGGGAAGGAATGGTGAGGGGAGGGAATCTTGTGGGGAGAGAGAAGCCAGGCCCAGCTTGGAGGAACCAAAGTATATGGCAGCTTCCCAGGATAGGTACTCAGGTGGAGGGAATGAGGCAAAGACAATACAGAGATAAGACCCAAGTTTGGGTGTTGGAGCTGGTTCAGGACCCAGTGCAATTTGATGGGGACAGAGTTCCTCACATCCTTACAGCCCGGGTTAGGATTGCTCTTACAGGCTGTGGTGGGGCTGGATTGAGATTGAAGTCAAGTGATGTCAAGTGAAGGGAGAAGGAGGCTAAGGGGCTAGAAAGTTACAAAGTCTATATTTTGCCTTTATGATATTGCAAAAAAGAATGCAGTAAAAAAGGAAGCATTCTACCAATTTTGACCATGAAAAGAATGATGAAGAATTAATAACAAGTTAAATCCAAATGAACTGGGTCAATTGGGGTTTCCCAACTGTTTTTGATTTCTCATTGATTTCCATTTGACTTTTCAACATTCTTCCTCCTTCTCACGTTAGGCATGTAGCAGTAGAAAAATACTTTTATGCTCAGGATTTTCCTACAGTGAAACATACCAGCCATGCATGAGTTTAGGATAACATCAAACTAACATAGACATAACCTTGGCAGGGATTTTCTTGGCTAATTGGTCTCTGCAGTTCTGATGTAGGCTCCAAAGTTTGCACGATAATCCCCAAGTCCCAACAAGCCTTCCTTCATTAATCTATGGACATGGAATCGGCTTACCCATGATTTCATAAGTGAGGAGGAGAGAGAAGAGAGCGTTTTGAGTTTGGAATGAAACGGAATTCATTTCCTCCAAGGAACTAACACCACTGACAGTTCAACTTGCTGTTGTGGGAAATGTTAGGGGATGCCATAGTTATCCAGGAGAAAGGTATTTTCAGTGTGAAACCGAATGCCTAAATCACATGGCAACAGGCAGGGGAGAAGGTGGCTCCCTATGTCGGGAATGGTGAAGGAGGGAGAAGAAACACATATTTCTAATCTGCCCTTCTGTGTAATGTGATTTCCCCCAACAGGTCTGATAGGGTTTTTCATCGCTTTTGGCATTGCCATGGGGAAGATGGGCGAGCAGGCCAAGCTGATGGTGGAATTCTTCAACATTTTGAATGAGATTGTAATGAAGTTAGTGATCATGATCATGTGGTAAGTGGGCTTGTTCTTCCTTCAGTGTGGTGGGGGTGGGGGCGTCCAGAGGTCTTGGGATCCTTGGAAGATCATGGAGCCTTCCTAGCAGGAGCAAGTGGGTGGCCATGGACCAAGCAAAGTGCTCTCCAGAAAGACTTTGAGAAAGGGATGAAAATCTCTTTCTGGGAGCTTCCCCTAGAAAATGGTTTGGAAAACTATGGCCCATCCTCAGGCCAGATCCTTTCTGCTACTCCTTTAGTGGCCTACAGGACTGGGTTTTATGTTTTTATGTTGCTGGGGGGAAAAAAAATCAAAAGAGTAATAATATTTTACAAACATGAAAATTACATGAAATTCACATCCAGGGCCCATAGATAGAGTTTTATTGGCACATGGCCACACCCATTCATTCACATATTGTCTAGCATTGCTTTATGCTGAATGCAGAGTCGAGTTGTTCTGATTAACACCGTGTAGCCTGCAAAGACTGAAGTATTTACTCTTTGACCCTTCACATAAAAAGTTTGCCAATCCCTACAGTGGGAACACAAAAACAACAACAACAATTAAAAAGAGGGACAAGCTGAAAAAACCAACTAGTAATTCTGAAACCAGCAGTATCGGAAAACACTGAGATAAATCCAAGTACTAGGGATGATATGGCCTGACCCAGGGTTTGTGGAAGGACCGCCACTCTAATATTCTGGCATCCAAAAGCAACGTATCGGAGATTCTTCATTCAGACAGAAGGAAAAAGAGGCAGTTTTCAGGCCATGCAAGCAAAATGATATCACAGAGGACACATTAAAATTATAAGTACTCTTGGAAATGTGGTTCCACCCTCTAGTTGTGTAGAAGAGAAGACTGTGTCCAGAGTGACTACATCTTGATTGTACAATATCACAATCATTAGAACAATAAAACTTACCAATTCTTGATTTCCTTTTATCTGTGAAGAGCCATGATAAGTGCTTAATACTTACCTATTGTAACTCCAATAACCCTGCAAAGATGGCATCATGACTCTCATTTTCCAGAAGAGGAAACTGAGGTATATGGAAGTTGAATACTTTGCTTAAGACTATGTATCTGGGGGGTGGGTGCGGGAGAGAAGCTGGAATACCTATTGATTTCACAATCCTTGGTGTATAGTTGGGGGGCTTTTTTGTTTGAATTATCTAAGCAATACCATCTCTACTCCATTTCATGTAGGTTTATGGTCAGTGGTTCTGAACTCTAGGGCAGCCCAGGAGAGCAGGAGCATCCATTCCTTTATGAAGGAAGCTATACCACCTTCAGAACTTTCTACTGCCCCATATCTCTCAGATGGAAAGATTTTTTTAAAGATTTTTTATTAATTTATTTGACAGACAGAGATCACAAGTAGACAGAGAAGCAGGCAGAGAGGGGAGGAAGCAGGCTCCCTGCTGAGCAGAGAACCCGATGCGAGGCTCGATCTCAGGACCCTGGGATCATGACCTGAACCGAAGGCAGAGGCTTTAACCCACTGAGCCACCCAGGCGCCCCTCAGATGAAAAGAATTTTACATGCGTTTGTTCCAGATCTCTATGATGGTCTGGTACGCCTGCCTGGGAAAAAAGAAAACCATTATTAGATCAAGCGACATCTATGTCCTATCTGTCACAGAAATTCTGGATTACAGATTCCCTGTCTCTGTGTGCTCCCCTGCTACCCACCTTCCCCAATTCTCCTCTGATCTTCTTTTACTTCTGTGTGGTGCCTTCCACTAAAATTCTACCTTCTTTTTCTCTTCTTCCTCTCCTTGGCCCCTACTCCCACTTTACAAGGGCAAAAATCTGTTTTTGACTTATTTTTTTTACCTCCACAGAACCAAACATTGTGATGTGCTGGTAGAAATTCTTACTGAATCCTCAGGAGTGAGTAGGCTAGCTGATGGGCCTCAGATCAAGAAGATGTGCCTCGTGATTTCATGAAACATATTTACTAGACTTGGCTTGTTTCAGATCATTGCTTTTTGTACTTTTAAAACACAAACAAAATGCCGGTAAAATTGTGTGTGTGTCTGTCGTGCTGATTTTTCAACTAACCAGGCAATCCTAGATTTCTGAATATTTCTTTTCTATGAAAATCTAAAGTCACACACAATGTGATGCTCTAAAAAAATATGCTTAGAAACTTTAAGATCCATCTGCGGTTGCTGAGACTTTAATAGATGATAATGCCTAAAGTAGGATATGCCTCTTGGTAGTAAACATTAGGATCTGCCCTGGTCTCCTAGAATTTTTTAGGATGAGCATCCTTGCTCTAAAAATTCAGTTCATATTTCTGTATGATGATGCCAGTGATGTGGGCCGTGTCACTTCCACTAAGCCCATGAAGAGAAAGAATCTAGGAGGTGAGGTCAGTCATGGGATGAAGGGCATGCTCTCTTCTCCACAGGGATGAAGGGTGTGGATCAAGGTTTCCTGTTCACTGAAACCAAAGCTCCTAAAGATTTACTATCAAATCCCAGGAGACGCAGAGCAATTGTGAGCCAGGGACAAGGCCTATGGAACGATTTCTGACAGCTGTTCGGTGACCTCATCTAGACAAACAGTCAGGAGGGGGTTCTACGACACAAGATGCCGTTTCTACACATTTCTTTCATTCTTTAGCTGCCTTGTCAGTGCCGGATAACGATGCGTGTGGGAAGGTTTGGGGTGAAACACTCAATTACTCTTTAACTGACCCCCTCAAAGCTAAATGATCAGTTCTTGGGGATTCTTCTCTGTGTGGTAGTCAGAATAGTATAATAGCAAAACAAAACATTGGAGAGGTGGCTATTATTGTAATAGGGATTATTACTAAATTATAACTTAGAGTTATGAAATGTTTGCTATGCACTCAACATTACCTCTTTTATTGTGCTGCACCTATTTATTACTGAGGAGCTAATTATTATTATTATAATTGTCATTAAATCGTAGCTAAGATTTGCCAAATTCCTGCTATATGCTGAATACCTTTCCACTTGCTTTACGTGCATTAACTGACTTAATTGTCTCAGTAATACCTAGCAGAAATAGGTAGTTTTATTAGTCCCATTTTCCAGATGTGAAAACTAAGCACAGAGTTTAACTTGCCCAGTGTTGCACAGTGCCTTTTTAACTAATTAATTAATTGTATGGCACCTTATTCAGCTTCTCTCTGACTTCACACCAGAGTGAATCCAGGACACTCTGGTTACTAACTGTGTGATTCTATATGGGTTAGACAGTTCCTAAACCCCACATCAGAATGGATTGATCATAGAATCAACCTCCTAGGGTTGCTGTGAGAATTAAATGAAATTGAGACCAACAGTTACAAAGCATTTCTCATGTTCTGGGACCTGCCTAAACATTGTCTATGAACCAGTATTATCATTGCAGTTATTTTGTGATTATCATTACTGTTATCATTCAATCCATATCCTCTGTTTCTCTGTGTTCATGGATTCTTCAAGAAGCCTAAAAGGTCCTCTGATTCACCAAAAAAAGAGAGAAAAACCCTTAATTTCAGTATGATTTTCATATCCTCATTTTTTTGCAAATTTCTTTAAAACATTTTTTTCAAATCTGAAAATCTAAACAGAAAGTAAAACTCTGCATACTCTTGCCACTATAGAAACACAAGGCAAGAAGTGAGATCTCTTCATTCTTTCAATTTTCCCTCCCTGTTAACCTACCACCACCACCACCCATCCATCCATCCATGCATCCAACTGTCCATCCATCCATCCAATCATCCATCCATCCATCCATCCCTGCTTTCAATCCACAAATATATTTTGAGCCCCTCTTCTATGCCAATAATAATTTTAGGTGCCGGTGATATAATGGTGAATGAGAGAGAAAAATTCTGGCCCTCATGGAGCCTACATTCTTTTGGAAAAGGAGAAGAATTAAAGGAATAAAAGGAAACAAATTAGAATTCAGACAGTAATCTCTGCTACAAAGTCAGTAACCAGGACAGTGGGACCAAGAGTGATGGGGGATGGAAATATGCCTTAGACTTGATCCAGAGGACCCAGGAGGGCTGTCTGGGGAAGTGACTTTTGATGAAGACCTGAAGAATGAAAAGAGGTTGCTCTGTGAAGAACCAACAGGAGAATTTTCCAGGGGGAGGAAATAGCAGATAAAGGGTTTTCAAGGGTCAGAATGAAGATCGGGGTAGCTGTAATATGGTTGGTTGGTGAGGAGGTAGAAAGCTGTGAAGTTGGGGAGGTGAGCAAGAGGCAGATCCCATAGGGCCTTGCAGGCTACCATGATGAGTTGGGGTTTATTGACTTGAAAAATGAAGTCCTTAGGAGGCTACAAGCCTGGAGGCTCTCCATACTGATTTTCAGCCTATCCTGATAAAAATTTCTAATCCACACAAAGTACCTCTGAGCACAGTCACTCCTTAGATAGTCAGGACATCTGTCTAGATCTAAGTGGACTGGGAAAAATGGAGAGTTGTGTTACTTTTTGAGCCTGAATACAGACAACACCCTTGGGTAATTCTTAGAATGTATATTTAGCTCTCTGTTGACAGACTCTCCCATTTCTTAGCTCTCCTGGGTTCTGTCCCAAACTGGAAGGCTAGTGTTGCTATTGGAAACCAATAGCAGTGTGGGACAGAACCAGAGTGGCTTTATGGCAAGCCTGAGAAAGTCCCTCCACTAATTTCCATCTAAGTGTCTGATCCACCATCGGTCCTATTACTCAGAGTCCTGAATTATTTACCTTAATGGGTTAAGACTAAAGGTCTTGAATCAGTTGGAGCTAATGGAAGTGGTTTCCAGAGGCTAACCAAGTAATATCTGCATTTCATCCGTTGTAGAGCAGATTTTAGCCCTTGAAACACTGGTTTCCAAACACATCAGGAATTACCTGGAACTTGTTTAAAATATAAATGCTCCCTAGGTCAGATTCCCCAGGAAATTCTAACTCAACCAATATGTGGTGGGCCTGGGGAATCCACGTTGATACCAGGCAGGCCAACTTGATTGTGAAGCTGGTATCTATGAACTCACAGAGACACTGAAGTCTGGGCATGTTAAATTCTATATATGAGTTTGTGTTTGTGGAGTGGAGGGCAGTCTTGGCAAGGGCAACTTGGTGGGAGGGAACCTGAAGATGACAAGGGCAGAGGTACCAAGTGGATGGAGGAAAGAATGGTTGATGCAACAGGAAGAAAAAGACTTGATGTTCCAGTCTTAGATTAATCAGTGGCTTTGACCACAGTGCCCAGAGCTGCAGATACAAGCAACCCAACGGCAGTGTGGTAGATATTTTCTCTTCCTGCTCTGCAGTCATATCCTTCTAATTTAGAAGTGGGTCCAGCTATTCCTGGGTACCATTTGGCTTCAGAAACTTACTGGAGCCCTCAGTCTCTTCATGCACTTTGGTTTATGGCTTTGATTGCTTGTTTCATCTCAGGAGCTTTGTGTGGTGACCTCGAATCCCGGGCATTTGCCCTTTCTTTTCCATGGGGTGTCATTTTCTTTCTTTCCTTTTTAAAAAATTTTTTTAAATTAGTGTAATTATTTTTTTTAAAGATTTTATTTATTTATTTGACAGACAGAGATCACAAGCAGGCAGAGAGGCAGAGAGAGAGATAGGAGGAAGCAGGCTCCCCACTGAGCAGAGATCCCGATGCGGGGCTTGATCCCAGGACCCGGAGATCATGGCCCGAGCCGAAGTCAGAGGCTTTAACCCACTGAGCCACCCAGGCGCCCCTGGGGTGTCATTTTCAATGAGATAATTATGTAGAAACCCAGGAGCTCAGAAACTCCAGCTCCTGAGTGGAAGACTAAGCCACTCATTTTGAACACAGGTGCAGGGAAGTAATGACTCTAGAAGACACCATTGAGGACAAAGGCTCTTTCCTTCTTCGAGTTAATGCTCATTCCTGTTCTGGAGACCAAGGTGTTTCATTCCTGCTCACCATATTTATTTGCCCTGACACTCTACCTTCTGGCCTTTGAATAACATTCTTCATTGACCTTGGAAACTCACGTTTCTCCTAGTGAGCTGAGTGTTCCGGAGGAAATATGTTTCCTCTCTCTGATCTGTTTGGCTCTGGCTCAAATGTGTTCTCCAGGGGGACTAGATAGCTGGTCTTGCTTGGCAAAGTGCCTTGAAAATCCTTTTTCTCCATTCTGCAAATTGTGTGTCCCGGAAGAGCAGGGAAATCGAATGTCACCCAGAACAGCTCGTGTTTGTGTTTTTCTGGACATCTTTAAAGGGTGGTTGGTGCTTGGGAAAGAATTGATCTTGTGGCTTATGAAGATAAATGCTTGTTGGCTTTATGGGAAAGTGCATTGTGCTCAGTTACTTACAACTTCCTGGCACAAAGGTCTGGCCTCTGAGACAACCCCACTCTTCTAAGAGATGTTGTGACCATGGGTGCATCAGGAGAGTGTAAAATGGTGAGAAATTCAAGGGTTTAAGGACTTAGCTCCTTCATGCCTACAGAAACAGCCCTCCAACATTGCCAGCCTTCACCCAGGGGAAAGATGTGGAGGCTACAGGCTGGATGCTCATCAGGGAAGAGAGTTATTCTAAGGTTTTCACTAATTCTTGTTATTTACCAATCAGCTCTTTCAGAAGTTTCCTCTTGACAAAATATTTTGCTCATAAAAACATCTGCCATTGGATGGCAGTAGTCTATGCGTGGGTTTAGAAAGCCACATTAACTCAGACTTGGCTCTTTAAGAATGGTGGGGGAGAGGACATGGTGTACATGTGTGACCGCAGAATGTAGAGGATTCCTTGGTCAGCAGTCAGACTGGTGCTCACAGGGATGGGGGCGGGACTTTGACAGGGCACACATATGCATGCTCAAATATGCAGTCCTCACAGCAATCCCATGAGGTTGGAGTTAGCCTAAGCTTTGACTTGCACATCTATAAAATGGGACTAAATCACTACAAGGTCATGTGGCTGGGCAAGCTTCATGTCTTACGTAATTGTATATATAATTCTCCTCTGCCCACCTCTTTTTTTTTTAAAGATTTTATTTATTTATTTGACACAGAGAGAGAGAGAACACAAGCAGGGGAAACAACAGACAGAAGGAGAGGGAAAAACAGGCTCCCCACTGAGCAGGGAGCCTGATGCGGGGTTCAATCCCAGGACACTGGAATCAGGACCTGAGCCGAAGGCAGACACTTAACCGACTGAGCCACCCCAGGAACTTCTACCCACATCTTTTTTTTACCCAGGAAAGGCACAATTGCAAAAAACAAAAACATAAACAAACAGATAAATAAAAAACAACCAGCAAATCTGGCTGGGCTGTCTGTCTCCATTACCTCAGCGGGGGGACCTTATCTTGGGACTTCATTTCCCCCAGTCTTTTTCTCAAATACGTTCATAATTCTTACTAAAGTATCAACTTCCCCCTCAAACATTTTCTTTCCAGTCGGAAGGTGTTGCAGGCCGCACCAGTTTCTGCTTCAACCACTACCAGATTGGGCAATAAAAAAAGGCTGTTGCCCAACATGGGAAAAATACACTCAAGAGGAAAGAGAGCACAGTTAGTGCCCTCACGAGTGAGGACAGCAGTAAGTTGTTTCCAAGCTCCCAATCAAACAATAATAAAATAGAAGCATGAAAGAAGTTTTCGTAGAATAAATCGGTATATGGTAAGCTGTCAGCCTATGTAGAAAGAGCTCCCATTGCTCATTAAAGAAAGTGGTTTGGCTGGGGGAGGGGAAAACAACCCTCGGAGAGTCACAGGCACTGAGACTGTTCTCCTACTTCCTGGTTTTGTGGTCTTGGACTGGTCTTAACTTTTCTGAACCTCAATTTCCTCGTTTGCCAAATAAGAATGATACTTTGATTTCAGGGTTGTGGTAAAAATGAAATGAGGTGACGTGTGCAGAGGTCTGACTGTATTGCCTGAGACGCGGGCCAGGGAAGCCAGCGTCCCTGGTAAGACAAGTATGGAAAGAAATACTTTCAGACTGAGAAGTAATAAAACCACGTCTCTCTAAATGGACTCTCTGGCTCAGAGGGTTTTCTTGTCTTGGCAGGTTTCTCTTTTTTGCTCCCTCTCTGTCTCTCTCATATTTTAATAAGCTTCCTATCATCCAAGGTAAAAACAAAGCAAATTTACCAACGCCAGCTTAGAGGTGGGTGAAACTCTCATGAGCTTTCTGGGGAGCTCAAAATGGATTCCTAGTTTTCAAGGACAAAGTGGGGGGCGGGGAACGGGGAGACCAAACAAGATGCTTGAAGATTCTGTGCCTCTCCAGCTTGGTGCTTACCTGGGGGATGGTAAAACTTGTGTCTGCTCTTCCTGAAAATCAGCGGACCCACTGATGAGATTTCAGATGGTGCAGTTAGTCTGAAGTGAAGGAGAGCAGCTATCGAATCTCGTGGAATTCCTCCAGCGAAACTCTTGGCCCAGAAATAGGAAGGGTTTTCCTCAGGGTGTGGTACATGTAAGGCCCAGATAGAAGTTGTGAATTCCAGAAGGATGTCTTCAATGGTTTTTTTGGTTGTTTTTCTTTTATGTTTTCCAGGTACTCTCCCCTGGGTATCGCCTGCCTAATTTGTGGGAAGATCATTGCCATCAAGGACTTGGAAGTGGTTGCTAGGCAACTGGGGATGTACATGATCACGGTGATCGTGGGCCTCATCATCCATGGGGGCATCTTTCTCCCCTTGATTTACTTTGTAGTCACCAGGAAAAACCCTTTCTCCTTTTTTGCTGGCATTTTCCAAGCTTGGATCACTGCCCTGGGTACCGCTTCCAGGTAGAGAACACAAGAAATCACCTTTCTTTCTCTCTGCTCATTCTTTTCCCCTCTCTGCCACTTCCCCTTTGCAAAACCCTTTCATCATAAAGTTCAATGGGAATGGGTTTCATGTATTATTAAAATACTTCTGAAAAAGGTAACTGTTTTGTATTTTTGGCTCCTAGGAACTCAGGAGCCTTCTGATGAATATGTTTGCTAATAAGCAACCATCCTGGAAATACTTAATATTAAATTTCCCAGACGATTGCATGCTGTTGCCTATCTAATCTGGCATATCTAGCATTGGTTTCATTTTTAATGTTTTCCAAAAGGATGTATCAGGATGTTAAGCTATTTAAGAAATTCTCTCACCTGTGATTTGAAAAATGCTATCACAAAAGATCACTCCTTTGGAGTCATTTTTCAAAAGTCAAAAAAGTGAGCTTTTTCATGGCAAATGTGTTCAGAGATTTTTTTTTAAAAACCAAACCAGAAGTCAGTCAGGTATGTGACTTCTGTATGAACTTCTAGTGGACCATTCTGCCACAGTGATTTTGAGAAAATCGGGTTGGCATTGATTCAACTTGACATTGACTGAGAGTCTGGTCCTTCTTCGTTAACTAAGTTCCCAGGCATCTGAAGCCAGTGAGGACTCCAGAGATACATGGAGGAAAAAAATATTTTTTTTAGAAGTCTAACTTTAAGAAGTTAGACTGAATTTAGCAAAAACAAACAAAAATGGATACATAAGAAACACCTGGCAATTTAGAATTTCAAAGATTAGAAGAGTTTCACTGTTTCAGCCTGCACTAGTTACTGGTATTTCTGCACAAAACTAAGGGTCATGAAACTAAGACTGAGGCAGGTGGGAGGGATGCAAGCCAACTCTGCAACCCCTAGCTCAGCATCGTCTCTGGAGTCACAGGTGGTAGGTCCTTGTTGTCGAGCCTGTGACCATGCTCTGCAGGTGAGACGGCCACTCTGTTGTGACGCAGCGTGACAGTTGTCCCAAGGCTACTGAGAAGGCAGTCATCTTTTCCCGACAGGCCAATAGTGGTGACCACCTGAGAAACCAAATTTATACTTCCATCTTGCACATCAATGAGATTTTGGCAGGAGTAGAGTGTGGAATTTCAGAAGACGCTAAAAATATATATAATCCCAGGGATCTGGATTCTGCATTCAGTTTCCCAAGATGAAGGGAAACACCCCAAATTTCCTTTGTCCTTCTTGGTATGATATATTTCATATGGATAAGTATCTCTATCCATAAAGATCCCCCTCTCTTTGGAGAAAAAGTAAAATTCCCCCCCACCAAACAATATGTTTAGTTTTATATTTGTTTTCTGGTTATGAGCGTGGTGTTTGCTCATTGTGAAAAAAAGTCAGACAGTGAATAGAGTTTTGAAGAAGAAAATGAACATTACCAGTTCTTCTATTGCCCAGGAATAATTAATAGTAACCCTTTTAGTTAATCTTAATAGTTCTATATTTTTCCAGTTCGTACCATGTATAGGTGTTGTAAATTGCTATCACCGGTCAACCTATCATAAAAGTTCTGTCAATATGATCTTCCCACCCACTCTTTTTAAATGACATAATAATACCCTGTGGGTGCCACAACACAACCCCACCTCCACTGTGTGATGTACATGTAAAGTGTGTTTACTAAGCAGGGCTGTGACAAGCATCCTTATAAACACTTTTCTGTAAGCTTGTCTGATGATCCCCTCAGGATAATTTATAGAAGTGGAATTTCTGAGTCTAGTGGTAAGCACACTGTATGTTTGAAAACGTACCACCAGCTTGATGCTCAAAAAAGTCTGTTAGTGTAGGTCCCTACTAATGGGGTATGCGAGACTGCCTTTTCCCATCTATTCACCAGCACTAGATATTATCACTTTATTAATTTTCCAGTCTTATTGGTGAAAAATGATCTTATTGAGTTTGCATTTCTTTGATTACTAATGAGAGGAAACATCTCTTCGCCTTCTTATTGACCATCCTCCCCTCCTCTATTTGACCTTGTGAATTGTTTGTGATGGTCATTTCCTATTGGGGAATGCGTCCATTCCTGATTGGCTTTAACCCTCTTCATGTATAAAAATATTAACTCGTTGTGTCCCGTGTTGCAAATGATGTTCCTCTCTGTCTGGCGCTTGTCTTGAAAATTTGTCATGTTTTTGCCCCTAGAAGGTTTAAACTTGCGTATCATTGAAGTTGTCAGTATTTTCATTTAGTATTTGGAATTTTAATTTTTTTCCTCAGGAAAATCACCACGAAAAATGATAAAATATTACTTTATATTTTCTTCCAATGCCTTTATGGTTTTGATCTTTAAATCTTTCAAAAAATATTATTATCTTTCCTTTGAATGTCTAGACAGTTTTCCCAGTACTTTTAATTAGAGAAAGTAAATCCTAAAGGCATATGGATGGCCCAAGTTCATATTTAAATCAGACAGATGCTTGGGTTATCTGGCCAAGGCCATGAATGCTAGACACATTTCTCCTCCTTACCCTGTATTTCAAGTGAATTAATCTTTGGTTAAACTGTGGCTTTTGCCAGGATGTGGAATTTCATTTGTTAAAAGAAAACACACTTAAAGAAAAATCTATGGCACGAGTCACATACTTAGAACTAACTCTGCCATTATGACCAGAGGGAAAAAACACAAAGCCTCAGGATGGCCAGTTAACTATTCTTTCTACCTCCTTGGACCCTGATGGAAGGAGAAGTAGAAGGAGCTGACTTCCTTTTCTCAACAGGCTGGTGTCAGGGAGGACTGATGGAAGGGGGCAGCCTGGGACACTCCTCTCTGCATCCTGCTGACATCAGTCCATGCTGTTGAAACTACTCTGGGAAAAGAAAAGAAGACTGTCAAGTATCTGCTAGTTATTATTAGCAATATTTGAAAACTGTCATATGGTCATTGAGGCAGGAGACAAAAAACCCATGTCAGAATGTCAGATGGGCAGGAAAGAGTTAAAATTCTCAAGTTCCCATTTGGATTGGTTGGGTATATATGAATTTTGAGAACATTTTCATGATTTACCAATTATTTTCTCTGATCTATTTAATTATCTGAAGACCTCTTGATGACATTTTGGGAAAGTGGATACAATAATAAAAATTGACATATTCCAGTCCTCCCAGAAATGTGCTCAGACTCTACCATTTAGAATCCCAGCCACCTACCACAGCTGCTGTTTCGGACTAGTCATGGTGTCCTGCCAACTCTTCAAAAGGGTCTGAAGAAAGGGCGGAGTGGGGGAGTCATGTTAAACAGCTGGGACAGCCAACTGGGTAGAAGGTACAAGAAGGCTCCAAACATTCATTTCCTCTACCTAAGACCAAGAAGGAGGCATGAGACCCCTAGCCTGAAATCACGAAGAATGTTCCCATAAGATGACTCTGGCTTCCCTAAGGTTATTATTGGGAGCCTGTGGGTCAGGGGTTTAAGAAGATGTCGACTTAGGTGACCCTAAGTTTAGAGTTTCCGGTTTCTGTTTCTGAGTAGGCCCTGAAATCTGCATTTTCTATAGCTCCTCTGAAGCCATAGAAAGCTTCTCCCACTCTCGGAGAAACGGAGACCTCTGGCAGGGGTCTATGTTAAGTTTGGTGGGAACCCTAATTCTGACTAGTAGAAGGAGGGAACCGGGACAAAGGCTGTCAATGCATGATAGAAAAAATATGTCTGCACCCAATTCAGTTTGCTAAGGTTTGGACAGAAAAAAGGCCCCAAAAGCAAAATATAAAACAGGACAAACAAACCCCAAAGAGAACGGGCCACAAAGCACTTGCATGGCAATTCGGGTGTTCTATGTTTCTTTCCATATTACTTAAATTTTGAAGCAAATCCACCTACCCTCCCACACGCCTCTCTCCACATGGAAATAATATTTTGGCCATCAGTGACCCTTATCCTTACAGGTCTCCTAATTTAAAAGACGCACGAACATGTCAGGAGTTCTGGCCCTTGAGGCTGGGTCCTGTGGTGACGAATTCCCATCCTAGGCCTGGGATGAGAGCGGGGGAGTCACTCCATCCACACTGAGTCTTTGATCAGCTACAGAGCACATGCTTTTTGCTCTATATTGTTGCAAAGACTGTACAGTTGGCCAGTGACCACGTATTAGGGAGTTGGACCATCTGTGAGGGTCCCTAGTGAATTTCTAGAAGCTCAGGTTCAGGCTAAATGGTGTTTAACATGTTTGTCCAGCATTCTGAAAATTAGCTCAGAGCAATTCCCAGAGGCTGGAGACAGCCCATGTAGTCATCTTATTGGAAAGTGTTTTCAGCATGAAATTATGGGTCATTCAAAAATCCCTCTTTCCGCTTCACTGTTGACAGCTCATTGTTTTCTGACACGTTGTTTTTTTTGCAGCTCAATGAATGTGGGTAATCAGATGGTCTTTAATTTTTTTTTAAAGATTTTATTTATTTATTTGTCAGAGAGAGAGCGAGCACTGGCAGATGGAGGCAGAGGGAGAAGCAGGCTCCCCGCTGAGCAAGGAGCCCGATGTGGGACGCGATCCCAGGGTGCTGGGATCATTGGTCTTTAATATTTAATATAAGAGGGACACACTGATCAAAGGAACAAGAATTTAAAGCTCTAAGTAGATCTCAAAAACCAACAAAAAGAGCTTGCTACTTATGAGCATCTTAATAAGACTGAATTTGAAACGCCAAACAGCTGGTCTCTAATTTGGCTCTGGGCACTGTTTTTTTCATGTCATGTTGCTTGATTGGAACAAAGAACAAACACTTTGTGGTGGCATTTCAGTTTGAGTTTTGTCCTGCTTGTCTAAAGCGGATATAAACTCATGTGTCTCTCTCTCTTGGTTCCTTAGTGCTGGAACTTTACCTGTTACCTTCCGTTGCCTGGAAGAAAATCTGGGAATCGATAAGCGCGTGACCAGATTTGTCCTCCCAGTCGGAGCAACCATCAACATGGATGGCACAGCCCTTTATGAAGCGGTGGCCGCCATCTTTATTGCCCAGATGAATGGTGTTATCCTGGATGGAGGCCAGATTGTGACTGTGAGGTGAGTGGAGATTGGGTGGAGGAGGCACTGAAATGACCTTTTATCCTCCCCCCTTCCACACTAACTCCATTTGATGGGGCCGCTTGAATTTCAGGTCCCCTGGTGAAAGAATGATGAAGGAAATAACACAGAAGGGGAGTTACTGGCAGTCTCGAAGGGAAAATATTGTGACAGGAAAGAAGCAGGCTCATACTTAGGCCTTCTGTTTGTATTGCACATGTGAAATTGGTTTGGAAGTTTGGTATGACGTGATTTTTAACAATCCTGTGATGTTGCAAGGCAGTGATTTCTACACCCATTTAATAGATTGGGAAGCACAGGCTTCCAGGGGCAGGGTGGTTGGTGAAGACTACCCCATTAATGAGCCAGGAGGGCTGTAACAGGGGCCGACATCAGCTGACTCTGACTCTACTTTTCCTTTCTTTAAAATCTGTTCCCTTCAACATTTCAGAGGGCGATGGCAGAAGTAACGAAACACTGGAAGGAAGAGGTTTCTCAATACAACAGAAACCATTTTATTATAACTAAGTAGCAAATTTAGATACCCATGTTTTACTAAATCTATTTTTACCCTATGTATTCATCCTTGAAGAAATTTAGGAAGAATGCTTTCCCAAGAGATCGTTAACAATGCATTGCTTCTCCATAAACTTACAGATCACACTTACTTGCATATGCTAATTTCTCAAATGCTTACAGCCACGCTGTGAGGCATGGACTTGTCTTAGCTCAGGATGCTATAGCAGAATACCACAGACCCGCGGGTGCTTAGACAACAGACATTGATTTCTCATGGTTCTAGAGAGTGGGAGGACCGTGATGAAAGTGCTGGCAAACTCAGTTCCTGGTGACTGTCCTCTTCCTGGCTAGTGTTGTCCTTCTTGCTGTTTGCTCTGGCCTTTCCTTGGCAGGTGGAGAAAGAGTGAGAAAGCTTTTGTAGGTCTCCTCTGATAAGAGCTAATCCCTTCATGAGGGCACCACCCTCATGACCAACTTATCACCGCCCGCCACCCCCCCCCAAAGGCCCTGCCTCCAAACACCATCACCTTGGAGATTAGGGCTTAGACAAATGAATTTGATAGTGGGGGACACAACTCAGTCCGTAGCAGCACTATAGGGGGGGCTCAGTTTCCTCATTGGGTATATTGGGTTCATCCTAGGGGGGTTAAGTGTATTATCCCTGGGACATAGTCACCTGTCAATAAATGTTAGCTACTAGTATTATTACTATTAGTGGTGCTCAATAGCATTCAGTACTTCTAGAATATGAAAGAAGAATGTGACGGTGGTGTAGTGAGTGCCATGATGTCACTCAGGGAAATCATACTTCAGATCCGGGTATCACGCCTTCTGAGTCACGTGGTCACAGAATGCACATAAGACTGCCAACGTCTCTTGCTTTAAAACTCAGAGACCAACAAAAGGAAGAACCCCTCCTTTTGAAGCCAAGTGAGATGATTTCTGGTCCCTGAATTCTTGGCCCTTATGGCAGCCACACTTACCACCAAGTTCACACTGTTAGATGAAAACTTAAGAGACGGGAGGATGGTCTGGTGACCAATGATTGGGATTGATTAATGCAGAGTTTTCAGTGTTGGAGGGATCCGGGATGGGGGCATCGGGGGTCCACACAGCATCGGAATCAAGCAGATGAGTGTCCTGAGCCCAGCAGACGGTGGCCAAGCAGTTCGATGTTTCTCCATCCGTCCGGTTCGTGGTTTCCCCCATGGAGAGCAGAGGCAACCATATGTACCTTGCAGGGTTACTGTGAGGCTCTGCTGTGACAATGTGTGTGTCATGCTCTGCATCGCGTCCAAGAACCAGCCCTGGAGAAGTGAGCCAGAGAGCGGAAGGACAGGAAATGCGGAAAGGGATAGAGAGATGGAGGAGAGATCACTGTCCCCAGGAAGCTGTTGCAGGCTGAAGGGAGAATAGGGGGACCAGCTTCCAGGAAGAGTATCCTTTATAGTCTTTTGTCTCACAGCCCAGAGGGGCCCAACCATGGGGCCACAGCGCAGAGGGATGTGTAAGAATGACTCATAACAGAAGCAACTGATGTTGTAAATAAAACGGCTGAGGCCTTGACCGTTGGAACCTGGGAAGTCCCCCTTTCCTGGTGTTCTACCCGTGCCAGGCAAATGGCAGAGAATTCCCACTTTCTAACTCTCGGGGCTTTAGGGAAGCTTTTATTTGCAAAGCGGCCTCACCCTGCCCAGACTTTCTGATAACAGGAACGGTTCACATTTACTGGGGGCTTGCAATGTGTCAGGCCTCTTCTATGTGCTTTCTATTTATTAGCTCCTGATGACGCTTTCTTAAAGATAAGGAAATCATGGCACAAGGAGGTAAAGTAAGTTGCTCAAAGTCCTGTGGTTAATATGTGACAGAGCTGGGATTCAAATTCAGGTTGTTCCCTTCCATAATCTTCATCAATACCCACTCTATACTCTAACCTCCCATGATCCAGAAGGATCAAAAAAAAAAAAAAAATGGAGTTCTTTAAGCTTTGATAGCAGCGCCACATTGACAGGGGCAGGAGAAGAGTATAGATGGGTTCTGTCAATCCCACCAAGGGGAGGTGTCCAGAAGGTGACAGGCTTACACCTGGGAGGATGGCAGTATGGAAAGACCAGTGCAAACCACAGAACCTCCTATGGTCTTCCTGTCCTCCTACATAAGATTAGGTAAATTCAGGTCCTTCCCCATGGTAAGACCCAGGATTCTGTGCTTGGTCACAGCAATGGTCTGAGTTCAGTTAAACCAGTTTGGAAGCCTGACTCTTAGTTTGGAGCTGGAGGACCTACTCTAGAAACTCTAGCTTTGTCTAACTACAAATAAAGCACCCCCCTTTTCTTCACTGTGCCCACAAAAGCAAGTTGGGAATCTATATTTTCATAAGCATCTTTCCATTTAGAAATGACAACTTTCAGAAATGGCATCAGAAAAGAGGAGGAAAAAGAGACTGCCCTTTGCTGGACCACAGAGACCCCCTGGTGTCTAGACAGGGCACTTGAACCCTAGATTGAACCCTCTTGCAGAGACAACTTCAAAACGGTGCTGGGTGTGCTCTTGGCTTTGCAAATGATGAGAGGCTTCAGAAGGAAAACCTCCTGTTATTGCATTATTTCTCCTTGGCGCCTTCTTTCTGAATAATGTATTTTCCAGTCCATGGTGAAATGTCCAGGCGTCTAAAGCTTAATGTCATTTGGAATCTGTTGATTTGTTCCCCCGATGTCCACTCAATCAGGTCTGGATATTTGCTATTCTGAGTTCCCATGTTAACATTGGCAGTGGCCTCCTCAGACTCTTGCCACGGAGTCCAGATGTCTCTGGGGCTCCCAGAGACATAAAGGCGTAAGCAGAAATGAATGCAGTGGTATTCCCATGGGAGGATTAGGGTGATTTGTTTTCCTTCTTTATTATTACCCTGCCTGCTTAAGAGCCATGCTTACCTTAGTTGAGCCCTGCGATATGTTAGGCTAATTGGCTCTCCTGCTGAGCATAAGGCTACAATCCCTGAATTTATAAACTTCTACCACAGCTGTGTAGAATCCAAGGAGACCCTAATTCCTGGGTGCTGGCACTCTAGATTTCTCTGTTCTTTGAGAAACAAAAGAAATTTTATGACTGCTGGGAAAATTGAAGCCAGGGATGGTCTTGCCAAGTCCTCTTTCTCTTCCCCTGACCCAGTCTTCTCTGTTTGCTCAGCCTCACGGCCACACTGGCCAGCGTCGGTGCGGCCAGTATCCCCAGCGCGGGCCTCGTCACCATGCTTCTCATCCTGACGGCTGTGGGCCTGCCGACGGAGGACATCAGCCTGCTGGTGGCCGTGGACTGGCTTCTGTAAGTGCCTTCCGAGGGGGCTGGGCTGCAGATGTGAGTCTGGCCTCCCGGGGCTCGACCAGATGCAAGGTTGTAGCCAAGGTCTTTGCAAAACCCCATGACAACTTCTTCCCTCCCTTCCCTCCCTCCTTCCCTCTAACATTTACTGAGTGCCTCATTGGGAACCAAAGGTGAAAAAAGCATGCTGAGGACCTCACAGTCCAGTGGAGGCATCAGAAAAATTACAATACAAAGTGAAAAGCCCAGCAATAAGGACCCCGCCACGGATGCACGGGGGGTCCCAGGACATTAGGCTGAATGAACAAAGCACAGAGGATCCCATTTTTACGAAGCTGCAGGAAAGGCAATATAATCTTGGCAAAAAAAAGAGATCAGTGGTTTCCTGGGCATGGACGGGGTGAAGAGACTAATTGGGAAGGGGCACAAGGAAATCATTTTGGGTGGTAGAAATGTTTCATAGGCACAGATACACACAGGTGTCTACGTTTGTCAAAACTCATCAAACTATACACTTAGCTTGAGTACCTATTACCATATGTAAATTATACTTCAATAAAGTAGATGAAAATAGCTCATGTAGGGGCACCTGGGTGGCACAGTCAGTTGAGCATCTGACTCCTGATTTTGGCTCACATCACGTTCTCAGCATCCTGGGATCAAGGCCCATGTCAGGCTCTGCGCTCAGAGGGGAGTCTGCTTGAGATTCTCTTTCTCTCTCCCTCTGCCCCTCCAGTTATCACTGGTGTGGTCTCTCTTTCTCTCTTACTCTCGCTCTCACCCTTGCTCTAAAATAAAGAAATAAATCTTAAAAAAATATATAGGCTGCAATAAAAGGATCGTGCTAGAAAGAGGCACCCACCCCAGTCTTGGATGGAAGGGCAGAATGGGGGAATCAGGCAATAATGAACATGGCAACTGAATTTGCCTGGGCACCAGATACCAGCCACGGTACCAAGCATTTTACATCTTCCACTTTCTAATAACCCTTAAGGTTTGGTATTATTACTCTTGGTGTATAGATGAGGAAACTGAGGTATAGGGAGGCAAAGTGACTTGAGAGTGAGGAAAGATTTGAGTCCAGTTTGGCTTGGTTTGGGAGGCTGCTATGTTCTTCATCATGGCCGTATTCAAGCTTCTGAAGGCAGTGAGAGCTGATCTGAATTGTAACTGGTAGGTAGATATAGACAGGGGAGGAAGCAGGGCATTTCAGTCAAGGCCAAGGCCCGCCTGTGCAAAGGCACTGAGGCAGCAAACAGTGTGAGGACCTATGAGTGGTTTAGTAATACTGGAGTACAGAGTGGGAGGCAGGGTCTGGTGAAAGGTGGGGCAAAATGGAAACCCAGCATGGCCACGCAGAGAAGTTCAAACTTGATTGTGTCCACATAGCTCAGCTACCTTTCCCAGTATGTTTACCAGTGAAGGGCATTTTCATACTGTAAGACACTCACTACCCATTCACAGGGCAAATCTAGCCAGATGGACCCCAACAGGGAGATGGGAATCAATCCTTGCTAAGGGCCTACTCAGTCTCTGATGTTCTGTGAGGTATACACTGATGCTTCCTGTCTAATCTTGGAGCTAAGCAACAGGGGTGGGGATGCTGTTGGGTTCAATGTCAGGGACACAGAGGTCCAAGGCCAAAGTGGCCACACAGTTTTTTTAAACTGCTCTACATGGCAGGGGCAATTTTTCTGACATCTATTGGCATAGATTTTAAGAGCCAGAAGCCACCTTTAATGCTTTTGAGTTTCCTGCATCTAAAACAACAGTTCCTTCCCCCTCCCTTCGCCCTTCCAAAGGGAAAAACACGCCCGTGACTGAAGGGAAGGACATCTGGAAAGCTGGAAGGAAGACTCACCTCTCCACAGAGCTTGCCTGTTGTTAAGATCTAGGTTAGAATAGAGAAGTGCTCCCCGGACGTAATCTGTACACCTCAGGAGGGCTGCAAGGAAGGTCATGATCTTCCTGATGGGATCCTCATCGCCAGGGAAATGCTCTGAAAGTACCTTTAGAGGGAAGGTGAAGAGTAAGAAAAATAACCTCATTCTCTGTCCCTGCTAGCCTCTCTCAGGGACTGGGGGTGGGTCCTCTATGCTAGTTCAGTTGTTCTGGGAGCCTGTGCTGGCCCCAGGGCAGCTTTTCTCACGGCGTCTGTCCGATGAGGCCAGGTGGTCATCATGGTGGCCGAGATTCCGCAGTGGTTTATGGGTGGAAGGATTGGGAGGGAATGGGATGAAGGAGACAAAGGAGTGGGGTGAGCTTTGCTGGGGAGGAGGACAAAAGGGAAGTGGGGGCATTGGCAATATTTTAGGGTCAGTAGGAGATCAATACATATGTGCTAAATTTCACCACAGAGTTGCTGTGTGATAACCAGGGGCCTTTCCACACAGGAAGAAAGACCGAGGAAACTATTGAAATGAACTGTGCTTCCCCTGTGACTTTTGCTTCCTGAGTCCTCTGCCCCTTGGCTCCTTGAACCCCCTGAAACGGTGGACTACTCTTGCCTGTGTGTCTTCATTACCTTGTCTCTTCTTGGGCTTATGTCTGAGGCCTAAAATCCACCATTAGAGACTGATCTTTTTATAAAAGATCATTATAGAGATAACCTTCCCTCATGATCATGCAAATGCCTTCTCTGAGTGAAAAAATCTGGAAATGAAGAAAGGGAGCTGGTACTTGGTGGATTCCGCCATGTTCTTTACATGTAGTAATGATTAATCCCCGAAGAGCCCTAAGGAGTGTTTCACAGATGATGAAACCGGGAATCAGAAGAGTTAAGTGTCTTGCCTGTGGGCACAAGAGAGCTTGGGTGGTCAGGTCAGGACCCTTTACCACTACCCCCATCCCTGACACAACTTCCTACTTGACCAGGCAGATCTAGTGGTGGGCAGAAAGCAGAGAGGCACTCAGTCAGAAAGGTTTAGGGAAGACAGACCTATTAGGGTCACCCCCAGTTCCACAGAATAACCAGGGAATTTTTCGTTTGACCTGTTTTTTTTCCTCCTCCCCAGACTAAAACAAAACATCAGAAAAGCCTAAATGGGGACAAATGGGGTCCAGTCAAGGTCTCTGCTACTCCGAGAATTCAAGCCCTCCAGCCATTGTGGGCGCTGGGCTTCTTGTCAGTCATTTGCTTCCAAGCCTGTTGGATGAGAGCCATTTCATGAAATGTCTAAGACCCTACCCACTTCTGACCTAAATGCTAGCAAATGGAATAGGAGGGCTGGGTCCTCCCCATCACCCCACACCAGCACTCACATGTTCGTACTTGCGCCGAGAGCAGGGCGTCCTAACTCCAGGGCAGGAACGTGCTAGCAGAAGGGAGTTGGCTGAACCCAAAACTGATGATACATTTGGATTAACTATATTGATGAAACTCTATATGAGAAAACTCAATCCCAGGCTGGCGTGGGAAAGAAGGAACAAATGAAGAGCTGTCTTCTGGTTCTGGGGTTGGATCTCAGGTGAGGGAGGGGGTGGGGGCTCTGTGCCCAGAGAAAAGAAAGCAAACAGTCAGGAGCCCTGGATCTGAGCTCTGCACTTACTCTTTGTGCGACTTTGAGCAAGTTACCCGCCAGACTTCAGCTCTGTCATGTGAACAGTGAGAATAATGACTTGTCAGCTTAAAAGCAGAGTCTAGACCCCATGCCCTTGAGTGCCCTACTGGTTTTAAGACCTGGAGTAGGATTCTGAGGGTGATGGATGTTTGTATACAAATAAGCCTGAACGTTCCTTTTAAGAAGAGGAAAAAAAGGGAGGGTAGAGGAGCCTGGGAAAATGTGTGTAGGGGTCTGTAGCTAGGTCAGACCTGCTTTGAATTAGTAATGGTGGCACATTCTTGCTCACCAGCAAGTGGAGCTCTGGAAACACACTCTTGGTCATGGGCTCTGTAGCCACTGGGTGCCTGTTACAGTGTGAGCGGGGTCAGAGGGAAGAGGTGACACAGATGTACAGGGGGAGGCTGGCCATTCCCTAGCGAAATAGTCGGTGGTGGAGGTGGGGGGGCAGTGAAGTAGAGAAAAAGAAAAGGTGAAGGGATTTTTTTTTTTTCTCTCCAGGCAAAGCTTGTAACCTCTCATAACTCTAGCAATTTTTCAATTTAAAACCAAACAAAGCCTGCAGTGACATTTAATGTGCCACAGTGTTTGCCAGCTGCTGGAGACTGGCCAGCCTCATTACTGCCCGCCAGGCCCTGGATGCTTTTCGATGGGCAGGCCTGGCTGCTCTGTAAATGTCATGGTGAAAACGAAGATTCTGGGCCCCAAAAACTGCCAGAGTCCTCGAACACTGGATGGGAGGGGCTGGTAAAACCAGAACCTTCCCCAGGGTCCAAGAAGCCCTTTGTGTCAGGAATCCTTGGCACCTATTTCTAAGAGAACTCGCTGACACCCCCGTCTCTTGGAGGGAAGCAGGAAGGAACCAGTACCAGGAAGAGGTAATAAATAACCAGGTCTGGCCACAGGTGGCAAAAGGAAAGCCAAAATACAGTGAAACCCAAGGGGATCCATGACCCACTTATCATGTAAGATTGCTGGTGAGATCATTTCTGGGGACAGATTTACTAGCTGGGGGACAGAGTTGAAATTGAACTTACTAGGGAGACTTACGGCCTCCCTCCTGCAGGGGAAGCTCTGAAGCTCCCTGTTAGCATCCCTCCCTGGAGGGACTAGAGCAGTGATGCTCAAGCTTGAGCATGCGCCAAGATCTCATGGAGATTCGGGAGGTCTGGAGTGGGGACCAAGAATTAGTATTGCCAGTGATGCTGAGGATACAGGCCAGGGACCTCACTTCCAGAAACCATTTATTAGAGATAGGGAAGGTAGAGTAGGGGTCCCTGATTTGGGGATATCAGCACTTCAATTCTTTTTCAAGCAGGGCTTCAACTCATGACCCTGTGATCAAGACCTGAGCTGAAATCAAAAGAGTCAGACACTTTACCAACTGAGCCACCCAGGCACCCCTTGGTTCTTCCCTGAACACCAGTTGGCCGTTCTCACATC